ATTCGCTTTCTGGGTCTTCATCTTCATCTCTGAAAACATCATCTGGGTCTAATTCCATCTCCTCCGAGAACGAACAGATAGCGATACAGAGATTGTATCAGGAAAAAAAAAGATAGGCTAATTCCACCGGAAAACCTCGAAAGTTTGTCAGAAACCAAGTCCCTAGAGGTTTTAGCGAGAACAATACCAATTTACTGTTTTTTTTGTTTCTCTAATGTGAATATAATTGGACCACAAAGGAAAGCTTTATTGGTTGGGCCATAACGTGAAAATGTTTAGGGGTTGGGCCTACGTTATACAAAGCAAATAATATTATACGAGAACTATATACAGTATGATAAGAATAATGTTTTAAATGAATTAATAGAAACAAAAATTTCATCAATATTTTATTTCATTTATGAAATTTTTGTTTGTTTGAATATATGTAAAAAATGAATGTATTCGTGTGACAGAAAATTTGTGTAATTATTTGATCATATTTGTAAGCGACAAAAAAAAAAGATTATATTTGTATAGTTGTGTGAGTTAGAAAGCTAAACACTTATCTGTCAAAATGAATGTTAGAATGTTAGACAATTATCGTATTCGTATGTTTATGTCTCTTCTTGAAAATGCCAAGTGATCAACTTTCAAATGTACTGAATAAAGGCATGTTAAAATTGAGAAGCAAATGTTAATTAGCTAATTGTTTGAAATATGAGTATGATAAATAAGAATGGTTAAGAGATTTTGATATTTTGGTTGGTAAAGTCGCAGTAAAAGACACATATTAGTTAGCTAACTGTTGGAAATACGAGTATGAGAAAACGATATAGAAAAACTGACATATGTATTCACAAAATTAATGTTAAAACGATTAAATTTTTAATTACTTACTGATCAGAATCATATTGCAATATCATAATCATAACAAATGAACTATCGTTTGATAATATGAGTATCATGAGAATCATATAATATATGTACAATATATATAATTATCTACAAAGATTCCCTACAGACTATGTTACCAGTAAAAATAGTCGAACAATATATGTACTTATTTTATTGATTGATGCCAGATGGCTAAAATTAAGAGTATATCTTATCAAATTCCACTTTATTGAGATAAAACACTATATTACACCTGTTAATGGCCTACTAATTGATATTATAGATATGAATTAAAATTCAGAATTTCTCTATAAAAAGTTTACCAAGTAAATAATATTTGAATACAATCTATAGACAAGTATTGGTTACCACAATAGTTTTTGTATTATACCCAACTTATCTAAGATATTAATGAAATCCAAAACATGATAAGAAAAATGTGTACACATAAGATTACATGACCCTTTTGGAAGAAAATTAGCAAGATAAAAAGATTCAAAGGAAATTAGTATCTTCTAGTGACATGTAAAAGAAAAGATTAGACCATATAATTAGAAGATATATTTTCCATCTCCCAAAAAGTTGGATCTTACATTCACCTATAAATTTGCAGGTAAACAAGAACAATCTTCTCACACTCTCTATCTCATTGTTGACAAAGTTTTCCTGGTAAACAAAATACATACATTGCAATCTTTGTAAACCAGTTTTACAAGTTCGACCATATCGATTTTTATCAAATAGACAAGTCCTATCTTATAGGATGTCGCCGAAGACAAGTCTATATACAAAATTTCTAGTGTTGTTTAGCAAAAATTAATTATTATTATAATATATCTTTGAATTACCTACTTTAATAATATTATTTTTGACATATTTATTCAGTTATTCTGAAAATAACAGCTTTTATCAAAATGAAACTGCGCAGATCATTAATTAGTTTGACAAGTGCTTTACGAATATTGAAAGAAGAAGATGTCTTATGATGATGCATGTGGTGAAATTAGGCCAAGACTGCTTGTGGTGGCTAACCGGCTTCCGGTTTCTGCAAAGAGAACCGGAGAAAATTCTTGGTCCCTGGAAATGAGTCCTGGTGGTTTAGTCAGTGGTCTTCTAGGTAAGTGATCACAA